CTGTTGAACAGGAATTTAGTGAGGCTCCAGTAGAAGAAGGACGTGGTGGGGGAGGTTGTTTGAAAAAAATGGAATGCAACAAAGTCTAAGCGGTAGAAATTATAGCTGCTATTTCGGAGATCACCACATCTCACCAGACTTCAGTAAAAATCGAATCAGCAGCGTTAACCACTGAACTATGCACACCCTGTAAACCAGGGTTCGTATTTGCACACACATGCTCTGCTCACACACACGCCAGAAACACATTCAACTTGTACTCACTGCTCATAGGCATGTGTGTGCATAAGTGGAAAACAAACTCTGCTCACAGAAAAGTGTGTGCTGTTTGTTATTAAGCACATGCACATGTGTGTGAGCCGATTTTTGTACAAATTTCAGCCCATGCACATGCACATAATATATTTTTAAAAAAATTGGTTATTAAACGTTATTTTTTGAAAGACAATTCAATAAAAAGTGAGATGTTTGTTTTTTATATGACAGAAAACATATTAAAAAATTATTTTAAGATTTGGGATAGAAATCGAAGTGTATAAGTTTCTCTACGCAAAGCACACACATGTGCGTGTGCTTTATATTAATAAAAATAAAGTACACACATGTGCCCGTGCTTTTTACCAAACAGCACACACATGTGATGTGAGCAAGTTTTTAATTTTTTATATGCACAGCACACGTGTGTGAGCGTAAAATGTTAGGATGTGCTGTGCATGTGTGTGCAAATACGAACCCTGCTGTAAACTCTTGTTGCTAATCCATTTTCTTATTCAAGCGGCGTATTAGCTGCACTTGATAGTAGTTGGTTGAATAAGGAAATGGATTAGCAGCAAGAGTTTACGAGGTGTGCATAGCTCAGTGGTTAGCTCTACTGACTTTGCACATCGATGATGCGGGTTCGATTTCTGCTGAAGTCTATAAAAAAAACTCTGTTAAGGAGAAGTGCTATCCCAAAATTAGCAGCTATATCTTCTACCGCTTAGACTATGTCGCTTTTTCCATTTTTTCCTAACAAATAAATCGTGGTACAAAACTCAAAAACCTTGCTAAGAAGTAAGTATTATTATGCCACAATAATAATACATATCACCTTTATTCAGTTTGCTGCCGGTCAGATTCTCAATTTTTAATTTTACAAAAAAATTGGAATTCACATTCAGGATTTGACGTTTAGTGCCGGCACTAAATTTGGTATACGTTTCCGTGAATTTGAGACTTTCCTCTCTTTTGGTAGGTTATGCGTTTTTGAGGAACCTATTTAAATTGCCCATATGTGAATTTTCAACTCTCGCACTATAAATAAGTTCAGTACATAGAAAATTTGATGAAATTTTTGTTGGAAAGATGCAAAGGTCCATTTTCTTACCCGCAGATCGAAATATCCATCATTCACATTTGAAAATTACCATCTTCTTTGTTAAACCAATTACAAGTGAAACGAGTATTTATATTTTCTACGTAGTGTTAAAATATATTACAAGAAAATTTATACTTAACTATTAATATTATGTTTTTAGAGCCGAAAATCAAACAAAGAATTCTACAGAAAAACCGAAACGCACGCGTAAACGCCTCGTAGCAGTAGTAGATGATCCCTACGAAGTGGAATTAGTCCCAAGAAAATTTCGCAAATTAAGTGAAGAAAAGCGATTTCTGGGAAGTCATCCGCCAGTTAACCCTAGGGTTACGTCTTCACGTTCCTACAGAATAGACTCTGAACAATATATACACCCCGCGGCATGGCAGCATTCTAGTATTGTTGACCTAGAAAATGAAGAAGACATTGATTGTAAACGGAATTATAAGCTCTTCACGTATCATGTGGAGCATCGGTATAATACTTTGGTGGCAGACATCAATTTTAGACTACATTTTAAAGTGAAGGACTATATTGATGAGGAAGAAGAGCGTCTTGCAGAAGTAGAAGAACGCGATAACCTTTCGATCAGCGATCTAAGAGACTGGCCTCCTCTTTCGGAGGAATATGTGGAAAAATATTTGAATCTAGAAAATAGAGTTTTAGCTATAGGAGAAGCTTTAAAACAGTGTAAAAGGCCTAGGCTTGAAAAAGAACCTGATGTTATCAATAATAAAGTTACCACTCTTGAAAAAGTACAACATTCGGAACATAATATAGAATGTGATCACAGTTTGACTCGAAGCAAAGAAGAATCTGCCTCAGATTCCATGCAACATGAATCAGGTCTTAGTAATAGTATTGCCTTGAAAAACAGCTCGAGTGTGGATATTATTACAAATTTCAACGAATCTGCACTACTTGAAAATAGTGAAAAAGAAATTACTATAACCAGTGACGAATACATAAACGTAACAAATTTAACAGCGCAAAGTGCATGCTTGGGCCGTGATCTGAATTCGACGGAAAAGTCAATTTTGGAATGTATATACGAATCCGAAAATTTAGAAAATGCATCAGCTTTCAGTTTTCAAATGAAATCTTTTGAATCTAATGCATTAGGGAATTCTGCTACATTAAATGAAATTAATAAAAGTGAAATTGCCATCAGTAACATAGCGGAGCAGTCAAGAAATGATACTGGTTTAGGTGATAGCATTAAGGAACAAACTCAAATGAATGACTGTAGTAATATAAACATCGAAAAGAAAGGTTTGTTGGTTGACAATCCTGATTTAACTGATAATTCATCTGTACTACTTAATAAAGATCAGTGCGACCAACAAATAATTGAGGTGACGGCTGAAATGAAAACCAATGATGGTTAGTTTTTTTTTTAATCTTGCAATTATGATTAAATCAATATATTTAACATTCCTTAGACGAAAACGAAATCCACCTGAATAAAATTCGTGTTTACCTCCCACATCTAGACGATGAGGGCGTATATTTTTCGGATTTGGATGACCAGGAGCAACGGATGCTATCACCCAGAGTAGTTACAACTGACGTTTTCCCTTGCATACCCAACAAGGAAAATATAACTATTATTGTTGATGATGATATAAGGACCCTTTTAAATATAGTAGATGATGAACCACCTCCTACATATACGATGCCTGTGCAAATCCGACCATTTATACCTCCCGTGAAGCTGAATATTTTCAAATTTCACGAAAAAATACTGAGGCGACGTCTGCTGTTTAAGCTTGGATCAGAAATGGAACTTTTTCTTCAATCAGTAAGTACATGAATTATATTGCCACCAATATAATAATGAATGCTATTTTATAAAAATACCATAGCGTTCAATGAAACGAATACACTGTACTGATGCAAATGAACAACGACAGTATAGACCAATGAAGTTATTTAACGACTCTTTAGATGCCGCAAACGAGGCAAAAGAAATTAACAGATATGATAGCGAAACAGGTTTCCTTAATTTGTTATTTTTCATAATGATTTGTTTAATAATTTCTAATATTCTAGACTATATTCTTAGCGACGGTGAAGATACGGAAGACTTCCTGGGATTTACTGAGGAAGAGCAAGCAAATAAGATTTCACATCGTTTAAGCAGGGATTCTGGCGTTGATGCAGATGTGCCGCTTACGTCTAACTTAAGCAAAGATACCAAGTTCCAACCAGAATATGCGGAAAAATATAATGAAAATACTCAGAATCCCCGTGATCCTAAGGATAGTGAAATCGAAGAGAGAAATAATAGTGAAATGACAAAATCTACTAACACGATTGAATTAACGAATGAAGTTCATTCAGAAATGAGTAATTCGATTGAGAATTCATCATTATTTATAGAAGACGTGCACGAGATTGAAAACTCTAAAACAAAGGTACTTGTTTGTAGAAACATCGAAAAGAGAAAATACAACTTTTTTAATTTTATTTCAAGATACAAAAATGGCATGAGTATTTGCATCCTATTTTAGCGAAGGCTCGGGAGCGTCACCATTTCGATGTTTTTCAGTTGGGGACGGAAATTATGAACGAACTTCAAAAACCTATTATATCCAGAAGCCATACTCAGACTTCATCAATCACATTCCAAGAAGTAATGATTAATAAGGATGAAAGTTATGTGTCACGCTACTTTTTATCAACTTTGCTACTGGTGAGTATTATCTTTGAATAAATAAACCCCAAATAAGCGTCAAATAGGGATTATGAGTCTAAAGAACTGTATGCATAAGTTATTAAACGCTAAGGTTATGTTGTTATTCCGCGGGGCCTGGGCTCGATCCCATTTTCCGACTAACATCAAAAACAAAAGAAAAGAAAAAGTTGTTTCTAATAGAGGTCGCCCCTCGGCAGGCAATGACATATCTCAGAGTTTATTTCTTTCATGAAAAACAGCTCATAAAAATACCATCGCCGTTCGGAGTCGGCGTAAAACTGTAGGTCCCTCCACTTTTTGTGACAACCAGAGCTAGAAAATAACAGTTGACACTTGCAAAGTGTCCGAAAAAAACAGTCTTCACGTACACAATGGGAAGGTAGACAGACACATACCGCTGAATTCTGTTTTTTGCGCAATCGACACTATGCTCAAGGAAATACCGTTGTTATCGTTTTTATTTGACGCCTTTTTTCCACAGATCACTTTGTCGCGAGCAAACTGCCGAAGTGTCTTTTGCGTATGTCTGTATCAGGGTTGTTGCGAATCTTCGCATTCGCAACCGCGGAGCTTCCGCATTAATTTTAACATTCGCATTCGCTCTCGCATTCGCAATAATCAATGGGGAGCTTTTGTGACTGCGAATGTTGTGCAAGTGCACTGATAAAACGTATATCTGGTAAACAAAATGAGAAATTGTGGCCAATATTTTTTGCCTGTGGGGATGCGACATTAAGTCGTGTTATCCGGGGGACTATTTGTGTAATAAAACTGGTCAAAAGTCAGACTTGTCATCTCTGATTAAAGTCTTTTTAAACATATTTAGGAAGTTCACAAGGAGTTGTATACTGTCGCATTGTTGTATGTCGTAAACTATAAACTGCTAAAACTATATTTAAGGCATTCGCCAGCTACCATAAAAGTCGTATTATGAAATTTCCCACCGTTAAGAAATAGTTGGTTGCTGTTTCAAGTCCTCTTAAACATTTATTTAGCCGATAAAAAGTTCACGACATACAAAAATACGGCACTTACGACACCTTGTGAACCATCTAGTTATTTCTCAAGCTCCTATATAACCGAGCTATCAATGGGCAGTCATACAAGCTAACACTTCTACCTGATCTTTGACATTCGTCAAAGGGAACATAGCCCTTTTAACAATATTTTTTCGGTTTTTTGTGGACCACTCTTAAAAACAAACTACTAGACATGAAAGAAGAAAGTGTGCGCTATAATTTTAAACCACATTTTCGTAATTGCTTTTGATGTTATATTCGTTTCAATCATTTCAAATATGGCTCTTTGGGAAATTTATTTGTAACAAAAATAAAAAAAACAGTAATTTCGCTACTTGTCGGGCAATATTTTTTCAGAGGGTTTGGCGGTCGCGTGCTGTAGTGGTCAATGGTCAGCTCCGATGCAGTTCTCAAAAAAGGAATTATTCTTGCACCGTAAAAAAGTGTATGACTGAAAGTCCTCCCAACTGCAGCGTCCTTCAAAAAGAATTTAAAATATTGTCAAGTTTCAATCGAGGAGAATTTATAATATTATCAAGTCTTACACGCAGATATTTGTCGCCTCGAGCGAGCAGTTATTTAAGTGGGCAGGTTTGATTTACAACCCCTTAAGAAACAAGCTGTAACCTGCAAAGACAGCAGCATTATTTTTATTAAATATAATAATAATAATAATAGATTGGCGCTTACACATTATGTTAGTGTTTGGCCGAGCTTCTCCTCCGATTTGTGGCGAGCGCCTTGATGTTGTCACACAGAGCGGAGGGACCTATTGTTTTTCATGGCAGAAATACACTCGGAGGTTTGCCATTGCCTGCCGAGGTACGACCGCTGTTAAGAAAAAACCTTTTTTCTATATTTTTGCGATGTTGCTTTGACCAGGGTTTGAACCCAGGCGTTGCGGAGAGGAAGCGTGCACTGCTTACCACTACTCCACATTATTAAATATAATGTTCCGATTTTTAATTTCAAGCTCTAAATACAATAAACATTGTCAAACACTACCTATCTAAATTATTATTTTTGAAACACTTGACATCCGCATCCGCGGATGTCTAAAATTCCACATTCGCAGCATCCCTAGTATGTATGCATGGTTGTGAGTGAGGCCCTTTTGTATGCGCCAACACATAACTGATGTCGTTTGCATCTGTTTGAATGTAGGGAGTATTAGAATAGGGGTATTCTCCAAATCTTGCAAACCCATTGCACGTAGCACGGATTGCATGGATTGCATAACTTGCAAACACACAACAACAAAATACATGGGAGACAACATTTCCTATCGCTGCTAAATATGCAACGTCGAAACCCATGTATATATTTTGCAAAATAGCATAGCAAGATAAATGCGACCCTTTGCTAGTTGTTTTGTTGTTGGAATAGCTGAATATTTCTCTCATTCCTCTCATCTCGCTCACTTAATTTTTTTTGCGGTCTCTTGTTATTGTATTTGATACATAATTTCGCTGCTTGCTACCCATGCATGCTTCCTCTTTGCAATGGGGTGCTCTCGTACTCTTCGAAATTTGGAATAGTATTTTTGCATTTCGTGCAATCCGTGCATCGTGCAAGACTTCGAGAATACCCCTAATGTCTGTTGTTGTGACAAAGTAAAATGCATATATATGTATGCACTAGGGACTTTTTCCGATCCCGGGATTTTCGGGATGACGAAGTCACAATGCCAGGATCCCGGGATTTAGATATTCATTACTTTTCAACAACTTGAATCGACAAAATTGCTTCTATATTGTTTGAGAAGCTCTCCTACCATGAAATAAATAATGAATAAATGGGTTTGAAACCATGGTACAATAATTACAGGTATTGTCTTCGCCGAGAGAGCGCATATTCCGATCTGCCTTATTTAAAAAATATCATTGTTGACTACACTAAAACGTTTACTGCTGGAAATATCCCTTTTTCCATACCCCATATACCATATACACTTGTGATCAGCTAATTAAAGCTGCAACATTTTGATCAATTTTGGCTATTTTTGTTTTGTTTATTTAATGTTTATTATTTTTCGATAAAATAATCTAGATTTCAAACTTTGTGCAAAAATTATGAAAAATCGGCAAAGTTTCAGCTAGAATTTCTAGATTTTTATGAGTATGCAGTTTAATAATAATAATAATAATAATAATAGATTGGCGCTTACACATATGTTAGTGTTTGGTCGAGCTTCTCCTCCGCTTTGTGGCGTGCGCCTTGATGTTGTCACACAAAGCGGAGGGACCTACAGTTTTACGCCACTCCGAACGGCTGTTTTTCATGGCAGAAATACACTCGGAGGTTTGCCATTGCCTGCCGAGGGACGACCGCTGTTAAGAAAAAACCTTTTTTCTATATTTTTTGCGATGTTGCTTTGACCAGGGCTTGAACCCAGGTGCTGGTGAGTGAAAGCGCGCTCTGCTTACCACTACACCACAGCGGGCTTCATGTCGCATTTTTCCATACAAAAAAAAATTTTCGAATTTATTTTGTATGGAAAAAATTTGTAATGCAGTAAAAAAAAAAATTATTAAAAATCAGTGCGATTTTTTAGCAACTTAAGACTTTATTACCCTAGAATTTAATGGGTTATTAAACTGCATACTCAAAAAAATTCTAAAAAATCTGAATAAAAAGTTGAAAATTTAGCTGAAACTTTGCAGATTTTTCACAATTTTTTCACAAAGTTTGAAATCTGGATTTATATAGTGTTTGTTATATAATGAGCTAGACTTTTATTGAAAAATAATAAACATTAAATAAACGAAAGCAAAATAGCCAAAATTGATCAAAATGGTGCTGGCTTAATTAGCTGATCACAAGTGTATGTTCACGTACTTTTTTCAACAAACCATCTTATAGAGAACTTATTCAAATTGCAAAAGCTGAAAAAAAAACCATCGTATATACTTACAAGTATGGAATCCTATGCCCCTTTTTGTCTATTCTCTTTCTAACAGCGGACGTGCCTGCCAAACTGAAAAGCATGATGGCGGCAGTGTTTGACAGGCACGTTCGACGATGCGAACGGCAATGGAAGGTAAGAAATGGAAGATGGATGACATGAGAATGAAAGAATTATGAAATAGCAAAATGTCGAACCAAAACGAATTTCAAAAATCTGACAATGCGAATGACGTCAAAATGAAAGAAATGCAAAATACCGAAATGTCGAAACAGAAGAAATAGATGACAGGCACGTGTTCAAGGGTTTCGTGCAACAAAAAGAGTTGTTGTGTTGCGCCATTCAATATTACAAAAAAGTAATGTGGTTAAATACGCTTTTCTATAAAGTTGAAAAATTACATATTTCGCCAGCCAAAAAGTGTATAAATAAATATATAGCATATTGTTATAAGATTTATTTATAACAAGAAAGTCTAAGTTCGGGCGGAGCCGAACATTAAATACCCGGCGCAAGCATTAAATATATGTTTTCCACCTTTCCGAAAGCTACCGCTACATGATAAGCCGGGGTGTATACATTTTAAGTAAATTAGCGTCCTTAAATTTCGAAATATTGAAATTTCAAGCATTTCTGAAATTTACCGTTATATGAAAAGCGGCCTCAATTTTAGTCCGATTTCAACAATTTTCAACGGTTTGCTTTTATGTGGCAAGCACAATAACCATACCGAGCTTGGTACAAATTGCTAGAACGGTTAGCGAGATACATATATGTGATCACAAGTGGGCGGTGCTACGCCCATTTTCCAAAATTTTGTCATAAACGTATTTCTTGGTAAAGAATTGTTGCAACCATCAATTTTGAATAAATTAGCTTCAATATTTACTGATTTATCGAAGTTTTTGTATTTCTCGAAATTACCGTTATATGGGAGGTAGGCGTGGTTATTGTCCGATTTTTAAAATTTTCAGCCATTTAGTATGTTGTACCAGGACCAACAACTGTGCCAAGTTTGGAAGAAATTGGTGTAGCGGTTACCAAGATATACACATGTAACCATAAGTGGGCGT